TTTTTTTTTTTTTTTTTTTTTTTTGCGAACACTCATTCATTACATTCCAGAATCAACACACTTGAGGCCGGGGACCTCACAATTCAACCCGGAGTTATCCCGGCAGCGTCAGCCGGTTTAGCTTAGAGTGCCTATTGATCTCTGTAGGCAACAACACCTCTTATCCACCCATACTTCGCTGCAGACTGTACTTAAACTGCGATGCTCGAGCCCTTCTTGCATCTATTACGTCCTTGATATTAGACTCAGAAACAATGCCCCGTGTCACCTATACTTCGCATATCAAACTAAGCTCCTACCTCCTATTCCTACCATTCCTAACTAATCAACTACTACACATAGGCCTAATGCGGCCTAGCGCCGGCCTATTCGACTGGTGGAACCGAGGTTCCGGGTCCCCTTGGCACTCTCCACCCTCCTCCCCTGAGTGACCTACTGTGGTCTGAGCTAGAACCGAGTACCCTGGTTCTGACTACTAACACTAGCCTACCTGAACAGACTCTGGTCCATTCCTCCTCACGTCTCCTGCCTCTTCCATTGGCCTCAAACTACCTGTCCCACCAAAGTGAGAACTTCAGCTTGTTGTCCTCATCCCCTTTTTTTGGGCCCCGAGTTTCCCAATAACTTCTTATTCATTTTTTATTTTTTTTTCCCTGTTTGCTGGTCACACGTTGGCCGTGTTGAATCTCATAGTTGTCACACGTGACATCTTGCTGTGATGAAGGCAAACCCCGAGGCAGAGGTGCTGGTACGTCATTTTTTTTTTCTCTCTCACCTCACATGTCTTTTAATTAACTGGCGTTCTGCCATGTCATGCATGGAACATATCTTTCTTTTCAGAACCCACCAACCACTGCAAGCCTTAGGACTAGTGGTACGTCATTTTCATCGTTCTGCAGCATCAGCCCAGGCACCTGTAAGCTCCTTGTCATCAGAATCTTTTGTTTGGACACCATATCAACGGGCGTGGCCACACCACTGTGGAAACCGAAAAAATACGAGTGCATCTTCCGCACAAAGTGGCAAGATGCATCCCATAGTAACGGATGCATTTGCCCACTCCGGGCGGGAACATGCAGTCGTACTTTTTCCGTTTCGACGGTGGTGTGGCGAGGCCCAACTTGGGGCTCCTCGCCACAGGCCTCGCCACGCAGCCTTTCCAAAACGGACCGCCCCCCCCCACCTTCTCTCTCGTGTCATCCGTGACGATAGAGAGCGGTCAAACCCCGGCGAGCGTTCAATAAATCTATATAACACAGCATGTGCCAATGACCTCAGCCGATTTTATGTATTGTAACCGACGATTGGACAAGAAGGGGAAAAGAATCGACCCGCCTAGCTGTAGCGCCTAGCTGTAGCCCAGCAGGTAGACCCACCATGATGTGTTTGGGCGCCTACCGCTAGCCCAGCTGGTGCACCCATGAATTGTTGAAACCCATAGCTGGTACAAGCATATAAATACCTGAATTAAAAAAAAATATATATATATATATAAATACCTGAATTAAATTATAAATAAATACCTGAGTTACCGAAGGGCGGTTCTGGCTGCTACGGGGTTCCCCGTATGCCTACAAGGAGTAGTGGTAGGTAGGTAGTGTAAAAAAAATAAATAAATAAAAGGGCGGTCAGATGGTGCAAGTATATAAATACCTGAATTACCGAAGGGTGGTCAGCTCGGCGAAACAGAGCACAGTTGCAGTAGCGCACTGAAACCTTATCGGTTGTCCGACAGTCAGACAGGATCTGCGTTTGTATCGGTGTAGCGCGCGGACTGCGCCGTTTGTCGTTGTACGTCACGCAAAAGCTGCGCGTGAGCCGCGGGCGCTTTTAGTCGCTGGGCAATTTTCTTGGGGGGATCTCGCGCGGAAAAGGTACGGGCTGCAGGCGCTGCGCTGCGTGGTCGTGGTGATGGCGGACAGGAAGAAAGTGGTGGTCGTTGGCGGTGGAATAGGAGGTGCTTACGTGGCACGCCACTTGGAGGATTCGTTGGACGTGACTTTGATCGACAGGTGTCGTGAAGAACACACTACCTTCTCTTCGTCCTCCTCCTAATTTCCCCATCCTCCTCCCTTTCGCTGCTCGCCTTCTCTCCCATTCCTCTCCCTCTCTTCCTCCCTTCTTTCCTTCCTTCCTACGTACCTTTACCTACCTTCCTTTCTTCCTTCAGTCCGCTCCAGATAAAAGATTGATCTAAACTTATGTTTTTTTTTGCCAAACGTCGTCTCCACAAGGCGCCTTCAAGAATCCACCGAAGAGCTAAGGTTTCTTGACGACTCTTTGGTACAATGGATGGGACTAATTGGGTGGTTCCGGAGATTCTGACTTTTCTTACTTCTAGAAAAAATAGGTTTGACATTTTCAACCGCGTTAAACGATTTTGGCGTAAAGCTAAAACTATTCCAAATAATACATTGATGGTCCGGCCAACGAACAGATGGGAAGGTGATGATGTTGTTGGAATCTCGTTCATCTGGATGTGCAGTTCATCTCCTTGTTCTCCTCCTCCTCCTCCACCTTCTCCTCTTCTTCATCCCGACGCCATCCTTTAACTTCACTTCCTTCTCCTCTCCTTAACACATAACATATGTGTGTGCTGGTGTCCCCCACCTTCTCCTTGTTCTCCTCCTCCTCCTCCTCCTCCTCCATTTCCACCACCTTTCCCTCTTCTTCATCCTGACGCCATCCTCTTAACTTCTTCGTCACGTCCTTCTCCTCTCCTTAACACCTAACAGATGTGTGTGCTCGTGCCCCCCCCCAACTTCGCTCTCGGTCGAGGAGCCGGCTGCTTCGTTTCTTTGCTTATGTTCAGCTCTTGCTCTTGTGTTCTTGCTCGTTTTGGCCGCCTCTCCTTTTCTGTCTTCATCGAGCGAGGCTTTCATTTTGGTAGTCGTGCGTTCGAATCACTGAGCAGTAAGATCAGTGATCTTACCGCAGATTCACCTCGTGCGTGCGTGTTATTACCGTTTTTCTATTTTTCTAGTCTTCTTATGTGCGTACGTGTCACATTGTAATCGAGTAAATGTGGTGGTCCATATAAAAACTTTCTCTCATCTCCGAGTTATTGCCATCTGATTCAAGGTTTATACTCCGTGTTACTTGCTATCTGATCACTCGGCATTGGAGCGTGTCTATCCATGCTTCTGCGCGTCCGACATCCGGTTGATCGCTTGTATACATTCGACATTTTTCAGGTCGGATGCCTGAAATGAAATTTCGACATTTTTCAGGTCGAATGCCTGAAACGAAATTTTGACATTTTCAGGTAGAATGCCTGAAGCGAAATTTCGACATTTTTCAGGTGGAATGCCTGAGAAGCGAAATTTCAAACTGTTCTTGTGACCGCCGCAGCGTAGGTTTTTTTTTTTTTTTTGTCCTCTTTTCTCACAGCTGGAGGGTGTGAGAAGCTGAGGTTTGTTCACACACACCTAACTTCGTCCATACCCCGAACACAACGCCCAGTCAGTCGTTGTATCTATATCTATGTATTTGACATGAACGCTCCTCCACGTACATACAGGTATAATCACCCGGTGTTGTGTTCGGGGGAAGAAAGGTGAGATGAGGCTGAACATGGTGGCATCGGGAGGAAGTTAACCCCCTCCCCCCGCATCCTTCCCAACCCCCCGGTTATCACCCCCCACCCGGTTATCAGCCCCCCCCCCCGGGTTATCGAACGCAGAAGACGCAGGACGAGAAAGGGAAGTTGTCTCTGGTGTGAAAGGTTGAGTAATCCTAGTTTATATGGTTTACGACCTTTAGCAGATGGTTTTTGAAATTTATGATAAAAGACAAAAAAAAAGAGCCTATTCTACCAAGTAGCGGTAATTTATTGATCTTTTTTGACTGAAAAAAAAGGGCCTATTCTACCAAGTAGCGGTAATCTATTGATCTTGATAATGGCTCCGGTCATTACGTTTCCTCCTCGTTCACAATGTTGCACCGAGAGGGATTACACGAATTTTGATTTCCAGCCATGTTTCTTTACGGAGGCAATGCTGTGTTGATAGGAGGGGGAAATAGGAGGGAGAGGGTACCGATCGTTCAAAGAGTTTGGGGTTGACGTCCACAAGTAATCGTTCGAAGAGAAGTAAATCAATGGTGTCAGGGGTCCCCGGGCCGTAACGTGGGGAAGCGTCAGGAGCGGGGGTATGTCATCTTTTTTTTTTCTTCTAATACTAGTAAGTTTTAATTACTTACCTATTTACTCATCTACTTCCAGTGGAGTTCGACCGCAGGTCAGTTGGTATATCATCATGTATTTCTAGTAAGTTTTCCTAGTGGTATATCATGCATTTCTAGTGGAGTTCGAGCGCAGGTCTGTTTTTTTCTAGTAAGTCAGTTTAGGGGTGTACCAACTGAGAGAGGCCAGTTGGTATTTCATGTATTTCTGTGACCTGCCGGTGGAATAGAAACCGCGCTCTTGCTCCCCAGAATGGATATAGAGCTGGGGCCATCAGGACCTATGTTGTTTTTTTTTCTTTTATTTCCCAACGAGGACAAAGGGGGGAGGGAAGAGGGGTTTGTTCTCTCCACTCCTACTGCCCAACCTTTCATATTCACAGAAGGATGAGGCTGCCGATATGCACTAGCGGTAGTGTAATACATTTGTGGAGATGCGTTCTCGTCCCCCTTGCCACCCCCTTCCCTCTACCCCTTCAATAGGGAATAGCAACACACACACTATTCACACAGAAGGAAGGGTGCTGATGCTGTGCATTTCTCCTTGATTCGCTTCCCCTCTCCCCCCCCCCCCCCCCCCCCCCCCCCCCCCCCCCATTAGGGTAGGCCCCTACAGTATTGTATTTATCTGATTCCTTCCGTCAGGATTTGAACTCGTGATCGATTTACTAACAGTTAGACTCGTATACCTTCCAGTCACGTACGCTGGATGATTTCTCCTTTGCTTTCTGCCTTCTGCAAGCGTTTTGAGAAGAACCAGGAAAAATATAGGGGGGGCATGCAGAGGGGGGGGGGATATGCACACAGAGAGAGAGAGAGAGAGAGAGAGAGAGAGAGAGAGAGAGAGAGGGAGGGAGGGAGGGAGGTGAGTATTCGTAGTGAGCTTCTGTTCCAAGCTGCACTTGTTTCTGGGATAGAAATTACCTAACCATGAGAAGATGCTGACAATTTGTTTGGGGGATGGGCCATGGGTATGCATATATGCACGCAGTGTCCATCTAGAGGGAGGGGGAGAGCATTCAAGCAAGGAAGAACGAAATGAGGAAGGGAATGAGGAACAGAACATCCCTGTCTTCAGTAAGGCTGGAAGTGGGAGGTCAGCACAGCTGTTCAGCTGGTCGGCATGAATGCGAGTTGCAAAGCAGCAGTTTCTGAGGGGCAAGGCTTGCCTCTCCAGAACCAACATCATGATCCTGACAGGTGTTCTACTTCCCTTGCTGGTCCCGGTCCCGGTCCCGTTCCCGGTCCCCGTTTATCAAGGAAGATCCCCAGGTCGTTTGCCAGGGGTACGAGGAGTGTAATGCGGCGAAGAACTCCCTTAAGGAGTAGTAGCTTCATGGGCTCTACCTCTACCGCTGTCGCAGAGGAGCAGCAGCAGCAGCAGCAGCAGCAGCAGCAGCAGCGGCGGCAGTCTTCCAGCTCACAACGGCTGCAGCCGAATCAGCATAAAGATCAGCAGCACCACCAGCAGGAACAACAAGAAAAGCAGCAGCAGTCGCAGTGGCATCAGCATCAGCATCAGCATCAGCATCCGCATCAGCATCAGCATCAGCATCAGCATCAGCATCAGCATCAAAAGCGACCGCAGCGAGAACAAGTTGACCAGGTACTTGGAACCCTTCGGCAAGGGGGGAACGTAGAGATCGATGGTCCTGATAAGAAGACCCAGTCCATTGAGTTCCGTGATCAGGACCAGGTTCAGCTGCAGGATCAGGACCAGGTGGGAGGTGGTGGTGGTGGCGGCGGCGCATCACTGCGAGATTTACGTGTTTCTGATAAGGAGAAGGTAGCAAAGCTCATCCGTCAGGTTGTGGGAACGGCCAAGGAGAACCAGCGGTTGGTGTCCGTTCTCGAGGAAGAAAGAAGGGCCAGTGCCTGCCGATTAGAAAAGCTGCAAGCGCAAAACAGAGACGTCATCTCTGAAATATCGTGCCTTCGTGCTAAGTTGGTTCACGCGTACTCCTTGATACGATCTTATCAGCATAAGTTACAGATGCACCACCATCACCACAGGGCAAGTTCTCAGGCATCGGCCGCAGGGACACCTGTTTTGTCTCTGCCAACCCTTTTCGAGGTGGAGGAGGACGATCCGTCGAGCGGAACAGCTGTTTTGTCATCATCAGCCGAGTCGGCGGACAATCTGATGCCTTCCAGAATGATCAACGGCCGCATGTGTCAGAGAGGGAACGAGACGGTAATTAGTTGCTTAAGAAGTGATGGAAGGGAATGCTCGGCGGCCTGCTTGATATGTCGGGAAGGAAAAGATGAGGTCGATGTCGATGCATGCGCCCGGAATCGCGACCAGGAACATGCCAGGCTGGCAAAATGCCCTGGGAAGAGCGACATGGGATTGGAGAATGACTATTCTGAAGAAGAAGAAGAAGAAGAAGAAGAAGAAGAAGGTGGAGGAGGAGGAGTCGGGGCTTCTCTTTCGCGAGAAGGGGATAATAGGAGAGAGGGAGGTGTCGTCGGTCAGACGGAAATCGTAGAGGGGTTAGGCGAGGGTGAAAGAGCAGAATGTTCTTGTTTTGGTGCTAAGGGTGATCGGGAAAGAGAAGAATGTTCTTGTTCTTCTTCTTATTCTTCTTCTTCTGCGGCGGCGGCTCATGCTGATCGCGTCTCTTGGGCAACAGCAGCGCAGTTGTTGCCATCCCTCCGTGTCGATTGCGCTTCCGCTTCCGCGGTTGCTGACGCGGCTGCTATGTGCTGCGAAAATGCATTGGCGGAAGCTACCGGTAGGCCAAACATCAAGGCAAAAGATTGCGCTTCCGCTTCCGCTTCCGCTGGTGGTGTGACAGGCACAAGGGGAATGGACGGAAGTGCCGAGAGTAGGGAGAAGGAAGCCAGCCAGCCGTCATTTGGACCGGCGTCGTTTTCCAGCCCTATAAGTAGAGATCCAGGTGCAGCAGTTCATAGTAGGGTTCCCTATACACCTGCAGGCACAGCTACCCGTACACTTGCAGATGTAGCGCCAGGTGCAGTCCCAGCCGCAGCTGCATGTCCAGCTCTACGTGCAGTTCCAGGTGCAGTTACATGTGCAGTTCCAAGGTTTGATCCAGCAGGAATCGTTCCAGGTATAGGTCCAGGTGCAGGTCCAGGTGGAGGTCCAGGTGCAGGTCCAGGTGGAGGTCCAGGTGCAGGTCCAGGTGCAGCTGGATGTCCAGTTCCACGTGCAGTTCCAGGCACAGTTACATGTGCAGTTCCAAGGTTTGATCCAGCAGGAACCGTTCCAGGTATAGGTCCAGGTGCAGTCCCAGGTGCAGTCCCAGGTGCAGGTCCAGGTGCAGGTCCAGGTGGAGGTCCAGCTGCAGCTGGATATCCAGTTCTGCGTGCAGTTCCAGGCACAGTTACATGTGCAGTTCCAAGGTTTGATCCAGCAGGAACCGTTCCAGGTATAGGTCCAGGTGCAGTTCCAGGTGCAGTTCCAGGTGCAGGTCCAGGTGAAGGTCCAGGTGCAGGTCCAGGGACTGTTCCAAGTACAGTTCGAGGTGCAGGTCCAAGTAAAGTTCCAGGTGCAGTTGCGGGTGCAGTTTCAGGCGCAGTTATAGGTGCAGGTCTAGATGCAGTCCCAGGTCTAGTTCCAGGTGCAGTTGGAGATGTAGTTTCAGGTTCAGTTCCAGATGCAGTTATCGAAACGGGCTGTAATCAGAGTATCCCTCCCTTCGACCAGGGGAGGGTTAATGCTCTGGGGCCCTCCGGACCCTCCAGTTCCTCAAGTACCCATGGCTCTGTGCGTCCTCCTGGTACTTGTCCCTCTCTTCCCTCCTTTTCCCACTCCACGTCGGATGCTGTTTTGTCATCCATGTCATCCATGTCAGGCTTGTCGGAATCACATCCAGTGCAGTTTCTGAGGCCAGATCTAATGTGCGATGCGGCGGCGTTAGGTGCCTCATCACTGGTCTCGAGGAAGGATGCATCTCTTGGTGTGGTCAATCACAAGCAGTCTAGGCTTGACTGTGGAACCGACAGGAGTGAAGGGGATCACTCACTACCTCCACAGGGTGACACGCAAGCCTCACATAGAGCAGCCTACTCGATACCCCAGGTACTTTTGCAGCCTGCTAACGCCCCAGAAACCTTGCGTAGCTCAGCAGCATCACGCTTGCAAGAATGTGCGCCGCTCAGACATGATATAGGCGGCAGCTCAACATTTCCTGCATCAAGTGCCCTACACAAATCCAGCCTAGCAAGGATAGAAGCAGAATCTAGTCGACAACGGCCTCTGGTGCTTAGGTTTGACCCATTTGCAGACGAGAATGGGGTCTTCTACCATGTTCCACAAGGAGGGGAAGGAGGAGAGGAAAGAGGAGAGGAAGGAGGAGGAGGAGGAGGAGAGGAAAGAGGAGGAGGAGGAGGAGGAGGAGGAGGAGGAGGAGGAGGAGGAGAAGGAGAACGGGGAGGAAGGGAAGGAGTACAAGTAGGAGGAGGTGGCAATGAGGATGATGAGGCAGATCAGAGAAAGGTTTCAGTATCGCATCGTACTACAGAAAGAGGAGGAGGAGGAGGAGGAGGAGGAGGAGGAGGAGGAGAACGGGGAGGAAGGGAAGGAGTACAAGTAGTAGGAGGTGGCAATGAGGATGATGAGAAAGATCAAAGAAAGGTGTCAGTATTGCATCGTACTGCATGGCCGGACGTCATGAAGAAGAAGACAGGTAGTGTGGGCAATGATGGTCATCCAGCAAGTGCTCGTGGTGGTCGCTATGACCTCGATGGGAGTGGCAGGTGTCTCAGCAGTAGGATTAATCGAAGCCCGAACGATAATCTCCAAGCTGATGGTGGTAAGTATGGCAAAAACGTTTTTTTAGCTAGCACCATTGCCGACAGTAACATCAGCGCTGCTACAAAAACGAGTAGCCTGCAGTTGATTCCTGAAGCTTGTCGCCCCAGCCTTTTTATCGCAGCGGGCACAAAGTCGAGAAACACAGCTCCAGAGAGAATGAGTGGAGGGGAGTCTCTTTGCATGAAGGGTTTGTCCGGCAATCATGCGTCTGCGTTTCCTGTGGAGATGAGTGATGATAACAAGAAGAATTTCAGGGAGAGTTATGAGAGGGAGGGACTCGAGATGACTTGTCATGGGAGTGGAGGGAGTGGAGTGGCTGCCTTTGGAGAGGAGCTAGAGGAGGAGGTTCCTGAGCGCCAAGAAGATGAGAGCTTGGGCGACCGTGGTGACAATGGTAGGCCGCATTTGCGAGATGCGGAAGGTGCTAAAAATAGAAATGGCCAGCATAGCAATGTCTGCGGAGCTCTTTCTCTGCTGAAGATTGAAAGAGCAAGAAACGACTCGGACGACAGTGAGAAAAACATTTCCAGACGGATTTGCAAGCTAGTTGCAGATCTGAAACTCGTTGATGAGATGAGGGTTCGCATGGAGAAGCAGAGTGAGCATCAAGAAGGAAAAGAAACAGGATTTGGGATTAGGGATCGCCATTCAGATGCAGAAGCAGAAGCACTTCCAATCCATGCAGAAGCCTTTGTAGGGGATGGCAGGATTGACCTTTCAAATGGGAGTTGTGTTCTCCCAGTTGTTGGCTCGCTCAGTATGGATAAGTGTGGCCGGGCAGAGGGATTACAGCAGCGACAGGTTGAGGACAACTGCCACAGCTGCAGGTGCGGGCAAACTAATGTGCTTGAGGAGGAGGAAAGGCATCCAAGAACAGTTCATGGAGATGTGTTCGAGGAGGAAAGGCGTCGAAGAACACTTCGTGGAGGTGATGGCTGTCGCGGCACCCGCAAGGCCACGAGAATTGACAGCATCCACCAGCAGGTGGGGACAGACAGCAAATTCGTGGATGAAGATGAGGGTTGTGGTGATGTCAGGGGCGCCCACAGACGAAGCGGAAGCGGTGTTGGCGTGACTAAGAAAAAAAGGACAAGGCGAACGCGGGGGGGCAAAGGGATCACGAGGGGGAGGGTGGAGGGATCGATGGAAGAGGAGGTGGTGAGGGTGATCGGGGAGGTGGTGGGGACGGTTAACTCTGCGGACTTTGAGTGGGAGAGAGAGAGAGGAAGGGATTCGGCTCCTCCGCGAAAGATAAGAGTTAATGTGGGGCCGACCCACAAAGTGAGGAAGATGTGTCGAGGAACAAAGAAGGAGGCTCTTGCGCGGGCAGTGGATAGAGAAGAGGAGAGAGTGGCAGCCAATGGGCAACAGCAGGAGAGAGGCAATTATGCACAGTCGGATGAAAGCTTTGCTGGGTTGGTGCCGCAGGTGGGCATCCGCAGGGCAAAGGAAATCCATGAAGAGAGAGCGAAGAAGATAGTCAGGACAATGGTCGGCGGCTCTCTTCGGGGAAACCCGTACGATCTTTCCCTCGTAGATCTTGTGGATGAGCTTGAGGAGTTGGAGGAGCACAAACAGCAAAGTCGTAACAGGCACTCCGGGCTGAGATGACGTGGGCTGTGCCGCTGTCGCTTCCACAGCTTCTTCGCTCCTCGGTGATGATGGCAAAGGGCCAAGCTGCAGGAGCTGCACACGTGCCCTGATCGTTAAAAAAAGAAGCCCAGGACAGTTTGCTCCATTAATTACCTCTTGTCTTTCAGATGGTAGACTCACAGCAGAATGTGTGTGTGTGTGTGTGTGTGTGTGTGTGTGTGTGTGTGTGTGTGTGTGTGTGTGTGTGTGTGTGTGTGTGTGTGTGTGTGTNCTCTCTCTCTCTCTCTCTCTCTCTCTCTCTCTCTCTCTCTCTCTCTCTCTCTCTCTCTCTCTCGATGGGGGAAGTTTGTCGCCTTGCACCTACACAAAGTTGTCACCCCGCTTGGTTTGAACATGCAAGGCAGGTTTGTCCGTGTGCCACAGTCTGTCGCGGCCACACGTCAACCTTGCATACCCAGCACCAGCCCGTCGGATTGCCCAAGTCTCTCTTGTCACCTTCTGCTTCGGCCTGTTAGCCAATCCATTCGACCGTGCTAACTCCAAAATTCATTAGAGAGTGAGTCAATTGCGCTTGCAAAATTTGTAGTGTGACCGTTTGCGCGAGACACCTGGGATTGTGCATGAGTGGGAGGGAAGAAGGAGGAAGGAAGTGCCTACGGCTGCATTGCCGGGCTGTGGCGTGGGGGACGTAGCCACACTCGACACATCGGTCCAATCATGCAACGTTCAGACCAATAGAACTGGGGAGAGTAGGCGAACGCAAGGGCGCAACGAGGATATCAAGGAGGGGATTACAGTTACATGTGAGATTTAAGGCGCGAAAAAGCGAGAGACCAGATCCTGACACGGCAAAGAGCGCGCAAGCAAGAAGCGTCATGCAGTTGCTGGCAAAATTGCGATGCGCCCAAATTCCTAGCCTAGTTTAAATCCTAATTGCAAAAAGAAATTTGAAAGAAAAAGGAAACTCCGAGAGCCCATGGGGGCTCAACATTAGTTGAAAATTTGAAACGACATTCCCGCCCGATGATCGCGCCAAAATTCTCATTCCCCACAACAGAACAAGAAAGTAGCTATGGCAACAGTTTTTTTCGTGCTGGCTAAGGCGCAATCGACTACCAACTGTTGTGGGACCACCCCCTTTCCCGAAACAAAAAAAAAGAACGAGGGCATTCATGCAATTGGGCGGGCTTCCCTTGGTCAACCCCCGGAGTATCGTAGCGTAGAAAGTCGCGAGGTTATAGAAAACAATTCGTCACAATGTTGCTCCTGGGCAGGACATGAGGAGGTGCTCCATTGTTTCTCTGACCCTCCTTTGCGCGAAGCCAAGAGAGCGTCATTTTATAGAAAGGGGTCAGGATGCCTTTTTGTTCTAATCTCATATGTACGGTTATCTAACCAATCCCTCGTAGGCGAACATCTCTGGACAACAATCTGCCATTGCAGGGAGTGGCAAGGTGTTGGTTTATGGGACGCTGGACTGGGTTTCCAGCAGGTGGTGCTCTGCATGAATAGACCTGTCTCTTATACACATCTAGATGTGTATAAGAGACAGGCCCTCGGACATGTTAATTTATGGGACTTTCATCAGCACTCTGCCCATCCCGTGCCCCAATCTCTCACGGTTTTGTAGGGGAGCTGTTTCCTCCCTTGTCACTGAAGTCTTACCTGAACTTGGATGTTTGCCTCCCGCCGATGTGTCCTCCTCCCACTGTTATTGGCATTGTTTGCGCTTTGCAGCAAGGATTACTTTGAGGTGAGGTGGGCGACTCTCAGGGCAGTGGTGGAGCCGGCGGTGGCGACCAAGTGCATTTGGTCGCACACTGATTACCTGAAGAAGGCGAAGGTTGTCGTTGATGACGTCGTCGGTCTGACACCGAGCGAGGTGCAGACGAAAGGCAGTCAGGCTTATCCTTATGATTACCTGGTGATTGCCACAGGGTCCAAGGGTGCGGAACAGAAGACGACGGCAGAACGGCGAGGGCATTTTGTGAAGTTGCGCGAAAGGTTGGACAAGGCCAGCAAAGTCCTGGTGGTTGGTGGAGGACCGGTTGGTGTGGAGCTTGCGGCAGAGATTGCGACGGACTTCCCTACCAAGCACGTGACACTCGTGCATTCCGGAAGCAGGCTCTGCGAGTTCATGACGGAAGGAGCTGCAGCCAAGGCATTGACATGGCTGAAGAAGAACAAAGTCGGGGTTTTGTTGAATGACAGGGTTGAATTGGATGCGACAGTTGCTGGAGGCCCCACAGAACTAATCCCCAACGAGGGAACGAGGGTATTCACGACTGCGAAAGGGACAGAGGTTCATGCCGATATGTGGTATAAAGCTACCGGAGATCGCATTCACACCGAATGGATAAGAAATACGCATATCGGTTCTTCTCTCAATGACAAGGGGGAGTTGAGAGTGGAAGACACCCTGGTGGTTTCAGGTACCGAAAACGTGTTTGCTGTGGGGGATGTGGTGGGTTTCCAGACACCTAAACAGGGGTACCTTGCGTTGGAGGAGGGCAAAGTGGCCGTAGCGAACATTAAAACGCTCGCATCAGGAAGGGGATCAGGGTCGTCTGCTGCGGCGTTGAAGAAGTACAAGCCAAAAGCGGATGTGGCGATCTTGACTCTGGGGAGAAACAATGGCGTTTTGCAGACACCCATTGGCTCATTCACTGGCCTCTTGCCCAAGGTCATAAAGAGCAAAGGCCTGTTCATTTCCAAGTTAAGAGGGGACCTCAGGATGCGTTGTTGAGAAAGGTTGGTTGTTGTCGTCGGGGTGGGTTCCCATAACACGACCCCTTCCCGCTTGTTTCTTGGCTTGTCCTTTCTCTGTCTGTGTCCGCTCTGATATCCTCTCTCGTGCACAGGAGCTCGACGTTGAGGTGGGTGGGTGGGTCGGTGGGTCGGTGTGCACATGGCACATGTGTTCTTGAAAACATGCCACGATGACCTCCTCTGGTCGTGGTCCATGTCTCCTTTCGTATACCCCTCCTCTCTTTCTGCACCTTTTGCAATGCACTCTTGCTTCCCGGTTCCTTAGGATTACTATTAAGTATTGAGCAGTTCGGTTTGTGTGCCATTTATTATCAATAAGTATTGAGCAGTTCGACTTCTCGTCCTTCATTTCGGATTAATTATCGAGTTCGGTCTCTGTGCCGTTTAGTATTAATAATTATTGAGCAGTTCGATTTCTCGGCGTTTATTTCGGATTAATAATCGAGCAGTTCGGTTTGTCTTGGAACTCCAGAAGCCCTTCCTTCCTTCATCTCGTGCTCCTCTGCCAATTACTACCGCTCACGCACCTCCTCCCTTCCCTCTTCATTTTTTACCTTGTAGCTCTCGTTCTCCGCCGCCTGGTTTTCCGTCTACCATCTTATGGTCTGGTTTTCCGTCTCCTCCCGGAAAGTGTGTCTGTATCTCTTCTGCTACCATCTTATGGTCTGGAGACTAGCGTTGATTCGTTCGTGAGAAGCTCCACTCGACCAACCTTCTTTTATCTTCCTTCCTTCGTCTCCATCCATTCGAAAAGCTCCACTCAACCAACCTTCTTTTGTCTTCCTTCCTTCGTTTGCATCAATTCCAAAAGCTGCACTCAACCTTCTTCTTCTATCTTCCTCCCTCTCCCACGCCTTCTCCTTATCCTCCTGCTCACCGGACAGGGCAGAACTGGCTATCGTGTTGGGGCGACGCAGCCCTTGTTGTGCTTCTGCGTCATGAACCTGGCTGCTCGATCGCGAATGTGTGCAGCTGCCGCACGCCTTTCTTTGTTCCATTTTCTGAAGTGGTGTTGAATCTGATGGTGTATAGCCTTCGAGCTGATGATTGTTCACAAACTGACGGTTGAGATGTTCTTTTTTCGACTGGCTACTTTTTGATGAGTGCCTTTCATGTGTCCTGGTAGGTTACAACCTGTAACCATGGTTAAGGCCCTGGTTATCGCACGGAGTATCGGCAAGGAAGGGGCTTGTGGACCGACGAGCATTCTGCCTCCGGAGGAGCGGTACGTGCCAAGCAGATGCAGACGGTTGCAGCATTCCTGTGTTGGTTATGGATTTCTGTCACGATTTGTCAAACAGCCATACAAAAGGACTAGTCGATGGGCTTGCTGTTTCTCAGATGAGAGATCCTACGACGGTGAAACGGCAGCAACGAGAGGAGAGGAGGATGCTGTCCGAAACGAAGCGTAAGTTTAGCAGAAAGGTGTGTAACTACTGTGCGATGCCTTTGATGTCGACATGGCTTGGCATCGCATGTCAGGAAAGGTTTGAATAATGGACTGATATACTGGAATTCCACTATATAGATGTCAGAGGCATTGTGAGTAATGTCAATGGACTGTTATACTGGAATTCCACTATATAGATGTCAGAGGCATTGTGAGTAATGTCATGGGTGCGTTGCGATTTGTCAAACAGCCATACAAAAGGACTAGTCGATGGGCTTGCTGTTTCTCAGACGAGAGATTCTACGACGGTGAAACGGCAGCAACGAGAGGAGAGGAGGATGCTGTCCGAAACGAAGCGTAAGTTTAGCAGAAAGGTGTGTAACTACCGTGCGATGCCTTCGATGTCGACATGGCTTGGCATCGCATGTCAGGGAAGGTTTGAATAATGGACTGATATACTGGAATTCCACTATATAGATGTCAGAGGCATTGTGAGTAATGTCATGGGTGTGTTGTGTATTGGAGGAGAGGGAGGGGTTTTGAGGTGTACGGTTATGAACCTAGTGTGGAAGGAGGTTCTGCATCAGGGGCGATTTGTATGTATAGATGAAAATTCTGAAATGCATTAGACAGGCCACCAGCAGCAAGGGTACATTGATAGACCGAGGGCATAGTCACGCAAGGACTTCTTTTTTATGTATGTGGTCGGATACATCCATGTCTGGCAATAAATGTGGTCAGATACTTCCATTTCTGGCGATAAATGTGGTCAGATACATCCATTTCTGGTGATAAATGTGGTCAGTTACATCCCATCCATGTCTGGTGATAATTGTGGTCAGATACATCCATGTCTGGCGATAAATATGGTCAGATACATCCATGTCTGGCGATAAATGTGGTCAGATACATGTAGGATAGAGAGGTAAGGCGAGTATATATATATGCCCTGATTTGATCTGTGTGCACATAGTACCCATAACTTTGGTGAATTGCAGCTTAAATTGTTCGACTCGGATGACGCGGAAGTGGTTGGATGTATCTGACCACATTTATCGCCAGACATGGACGTATCTGACCACGTTTATTGCCAGAAGTGGATGTATCTGACCACACATGTCTCGCCGGAAACGGATCAGACGAGATGTTGATGAGCAGCAGCTGACTTGTTCAACTCCGGAGTGGTGGGATCAGACGAGAGGTTGACATCTTATTTAAATGGAGAAATAGGAGATGGAGATGGATGGTATGTACAGAAGAATGTAGAATAGATTTAAATTATTTAATCAAAGAAGTTTGAAAAAAGGGGGTGGGAAAGGAGAAATAGGGTTGGAAAATAATTAGGTGGGGGGCCTGGGGGGTATTATTGCCATGCAGTGAAGACTGTGAATGATGTTTGGCTTCGGGCTGAGTAAAGTTAATTGGTACACCCTCCAGTGGATGGGGGGAGGGTAAGAAGGGGCTAGGAACTGAGGAACAAAGTAACGAGGTGACCTGGGCTGCCAGAATGGCCTGGAAGCACTTGCCCAGCCGGACCGGAAACAAAATAAATGCATTATTAATTTATTAAATGTAATAAATGCATTATTAAATAATTTAAATTTATTACATTATAATTTTTATTAATTTTTTTTTTCTTCAGTTTGTAAAGATTTTGTTTTTTTGTTTTTTGGGTGAGGAATTTTGATGCGACCCTGAGGTAAAAGTTCTTCAGTTTTATTTTTTTTATTTTTTTTAAATAGGGTTTTTTCTTTTTTTTTTATATAAAATTTTATGTGATTTCCTCCCCCCCCCCCCTTTGCAGGGGCCTTGCCTGGCCGTCGTTCGGCTGGGCCTGGCCCGGGCAACCAAGGTGACCTGGGTGGCCCGTTTGGTAGCACAGGAGGTAAAAGTCTTTATTTTTGTGATGATGTATTGTTTGAATTTGGTCTAACGAAGTGACCTCATGCAAAAGAAAACAACAAAAAAGCAAAAAGAAAAGAAAAAAAAGAAAATGACCTCAAGGCTCATGCAAAATGCAGTGGGGGGGGGGGAGAGAGGAAGAAGGGAGTGAGAATGATGAGGCGTTATTGCTATGTTTTTTTTTTTGGTTGCACTTTGGGCTTGTGCACCCTGCAGGGGGGGACGAAGCTCAGGGCATATCACACTAGGAGATTTTTGACCAAGCTGTGGACGGGATTGCAGTCAGATGCATCTAGGTGGGGCTTTAATCGAGCTCAGAATCCCTCAGATACAATTAGGAAAGTACCACCATCTTCACCCGAATACAACGTACAGTCATTGTAGCTGTACTTGGGGCAACTTCGAGTCTAGATACAGCAATCGGGACCGACGTGCAGTTTTTCTTTCCTATTTCTTTCTCTCTTTTTAAACCAGAAAACCACCCAAGGCTCAGTTCCTTCTCCTCCCCCCCCTCCTGCCCCCCCCCCTCCTCAACTGCATATTACACACTTTTTCTCTCGATGTATGTGTTTCGCAGGGGCCATGCTAATCTTCTCTGCAGATTAGCATGGCCCCTGCGAAAGGATGACACACATAAATCGAGAGAAAAAATGTGTAATATGCTGTTGAGGAGGAGAGGGGGAGAGGATTGAACCTTGGGTGAAAAAATAAATAAATATGCAGGCTTGAGTCCTTTGGGACATCTGTTAAGCATGGCCCATGCGCGGATCACTACTTAAATGCAGGCTTGAGCAAGTGTCGCAGCTCAATTGGTATGGCGTCCTATGGCCCAGAAATGTCGAAATGTGTACCCGAGTTCAAATCCGGATGGAAGCTGACAAATGAAAGTAAATGCAGGCTTGTTGTTTCCATTCTCTGCAATCAAGTACTCTCAGTGAATGTGGGTGGCCAAGGAGAAAGACCCACGCTTGAGTTTCTCTCCCCCCTTATGTCCTGGGCTGGTCCCCTGATGCCCATGGGGCCTACGTGAATATAGATCGGCTGGTCATTATTGCTGTATATAGACTGAAAGGTTGACCCAGATATAGCTATAGCGACCCCCTGTTCTATTCGGGTGAAGAGATAGTTCCGCTGGGCCATGAATGCACTGCTCTGGTCTACACCACACTCCCCTGGTCTACACATCAGCACGTTCACGGATCAGCGAAACTTGGGCCTGACCGATGATCCTTGTCCAACTTTTTTTACTTTTTTTTCTTTGCCGACGTTGTTTTGCCGACTTTTTGGCATTAATGTTTGGTAGTTTTAGACTCTCTCCTGGCAAATCATGTCGTGCCATTCGGCACCCATCACACTGAGTATGCTGTGGTCACATGTAGTCGGTCCGTTCCACACATCATACCAAGCCATTCCTCACAAATCTCTCTCTCTCTCTCTCTCTCTCTCTCTCTCTCTCTCTCTCTCTCTCTCTCTCTCTCTCTCTCTCTCTCTCTCTCTTGTACATGGATGTGACACGTGGGGAAGTGTGCTGTGCAGAAAGGATTTGTGCCACCCCCAGCATACACGAAACTCACACCGAGCAGCCCTTCAATGACCTTTTCGGTGTTGGGGGGGGGTTAACCTGGGGCTGAAAAGTGGGGGTACCTGCCTCGGGTCTTATGCAGGATGTGCGACAGGAGACCCTCTCCTTCCTTACGTGATGGTATGCATGCAATGCTCTAACTGACCGAATTGCTTCCTATGGCACCCTATGGCAACAGC